AGTCCGTCATATGAAGGTCGAAGTCTCAGCACGTTTTCACAGAAAGCGAAGGAGATCACCTCGGAAACAGTGCCATCAAGAATGTTCCAGTAAAGCCAATCTGCAGTTGGTCAACTGGAATTCGGCGTCGTCTTCTGCTGGTATCGAAATTAGAATTTATTCACCAAACACTTTCAACAATTATGAAACAAGAGATTCCTCTAAACCTAACTTTTCTTTGGATAATCCAAATTGTGTTATTGAATTGGCAACAACTGGCAACTTTGCGACTGGACTACGAGTCGACTATAAACCCTTGAAGAATGGGCCTAGTAAAGCCATTATTGTTAATGCAAGATACCAGTTCGTCTCATCGATGGTCTCCATGCTAATGTGATTACTCCAAAAGCGACATGTGCCTCTTGCGCCGATATGCTGGGTCATATCGTCGCTATCGTCCCTATACCATCTTAGGGGATGCTTGCTTCCATTTCGAGTGGAAGTGTTGGGTGAAGAGATTCGATGGTCCGTTCCACCAGAAGACGACGACGGATTACTCTTGATCAGCTGTCGATTGGCTTTACTGGAACATTCATGCTGACGCTGTTTCCGAGGCAACCTCGTTCGATTCCGGTGAAAAGGTCCGTCATATGACGGAAACAAGAGATTCCTCGAAACCCAACTTTGCTTCGTACCAAAGATCTTGGTCAAAATCTACCGAGAGTCTCGTAAGCATCTCACTCTCGAGAACTCCAAGCTAGACAGAAGTTAGAGAATGTCACATTTGAGGCGTCGAATCCCGCAAACTCTCCCTCCAGCCAAAGCCGCCTCGAGACCGCACCACTTTCCACCAGCAGGTAAAGTTTCGTCCCGTTGTTACGGGATGTAATGAGCCCAGATCGTTTGACTGTCTGGCCGGAGTTCAAGTGCCAAATGGGTTTAGGTCAACTACAAAAAGCTGTACGTTGAAGACAATCGAATTGCAAGACCATTTGACAGGCACAATTGCAGGCCGAGACCCGAAGACTCAAAGACTCCAGGATGGAATTCCTCCGCAGCAGACCGGCTCTCTCAAGTGGCCGAGGCAACAACAGCAATATTGGCTGACGCTTCCTCTCCCCTTTGATTGCAAGCATAAAGTAGGTCCAGCGATATCAGCAAAGTTGCAGCATGGTACATGTGCTTGTATGCATTTCCTCCTCCTCAATGTTCATGTATGCATCCTTGCGCAATCGCATGCACATAGCTCTGTCTGTGGGGAGGAATAGGGTGATGCGAAGTTTTGTATGTCTGTCGGAAAAAAGATACCAAAATGACCTCCTAAGTTGGTTGCCCCGCCTCACCCCCTCGAGTAACCTGTTGTTATGCGTCCCAGTTTCTGCCCCCACAGCCAGCACACTTGACACTGGCGGCTGGAATAATAGGATAAACTGGCCAGCCGTTGGCAAAATGACGATCCCGACTTTTCCAGACACTCATAAGCCGGCAGAAGGGACCTCTTTTTTTCCACCATCTGCCTTCATTGTCAGCCAGACCGGGCGACCGGACCGAGTAAAGTGACTGGCAGAAAGGAGGTTGTGTTATAGACAGTGTCCATGATGGTTGTTGTGTTTGTTTTACCGTACCACTTGACCCCGGCAACTACAAAACCAAGGCGGGACGACCAGCCTGAATAGACTCAGACGACAATTTCTAATGGCACCGTCTTGACAGGATTGAGGAAGGTCAGCAGCATACTCGGAAAGCAAAGTTGACCTGAGACACTTTAAGTGTACTGGTTTGAGTGGCTTTTAAAGAGTCTCAAGGACGAAGGGAGTTACAAGAGTTGACTGGCAGTGACATTATATCGTCAGTTTGACCGAAGCCTCGAACGCAGAACGAGTATGCACATCTCAAGATTGGACCTGGTATTAATTTGCAGCGATTCGTTTGTTGATTCTCAAAGAATGAAGTATCGGTTATCAGAGTTCATAGGATAATTGTTGAGCTTATTGCTATGCAGAGTGAATGCTATGATGAGGACAGGCAAAGGTTGATCCGACCAGAAAATGACCACGGACTCATATCAGCCAAGTGAAGGTCTATAAAAGCTTTACTTGAGTTAAAAGTGAACTCAATAGTTAAGACGTAGTCATCATAGGCCACTTAAGGTGATTTTAGGATATGCTCAAAGGACTGCTCATATTTTTGAAACACACTACTAAATAGGAAGTAATAATAATGAATAAAAGCAAGAAATAAGTAATGTATAAGAAACATAAATAAGAGAATAAGTATCAAGTTTGCCCATTTACACTGATTCCATTATAAAAGTGACATTTGCAAAAATCTGGTCTGCTCTGAAAATCACCTCTGCCTGATGATCCTGCGAGTTCGAAAGCGAAGTCCAGTCTGGAGAGGGAAAGTTAATGGCATTGTAAGGCCTGCGAAGAAAATTTAGGTTTAGAGAAATCTATTGTTTCATAATTGTTGAGCTTATTTCCATTTCGAGTGAAAGTGTTTGGTGAAGAAATGTGAAGTTCGATCCAACCAGAAGAAGACGGCGGATTCATCTTGACCAGCTGAAGATTGGCTCTACTGGAACATTCTTGATGAGTCCCTTCTCTTAGAGATATGTTCATGAATGAATGGTATTTCCTCTCGAATAAACCTTAGTCCATGCGATTTTGTCTGCAGGAGGACCATGACTTTTTGCCGTTAAC